CTCATATTTCAAAATTATCCAAATCGGGCAGTTACTTTTAAAGCTATCAAGTACCGAACATGTGGACTACAGTGTTTATGTCTTTATACCGAAACTATAGGTCAATATTTAGGATATATTAATTATATTATTTGAGATATATTGTAAAATAGGTAAGATTTGTGTAAAAAGTGGATAACATCGGGTGAATACTTACCCTATGCCTCATATACCTAATATAAATTTTTTTAAACTTCCGTCAGACTATATTTTATATATATTCGTCAATAAGTCAGACTTATCTGGCCTTAAAATGTTTATAATGGGTCTAATACTTCTTCTAGCCTAAATATACTTAATTTAATCATTTCCGACTCTTCGGTCAATTTTAAACAGTTATTTAGGTTTATATTTGCGATATTTTGATTAAATCAAGCGTTCTCTTAACCAATAACTACATATGAAAGAAATCCGAATAGTGAATTCTTTCTCAACATTTTCTAATGTAAAGATTTGTCAAAACCAGAAAATTTGACACGGATTTAATCTCTAAAAATTTAAATTGCCCCCATACTTGTTACTGACTGAAGTTGGATTCAGTATTTTCCTAGCATCGAAAAAAGTTAGTTTTTGGAGGGCGAATTGCTTAATCGGCCTTAAATGACTAACAACGTCTGCTCTTTAACTGGCTCGACAAACCCGTCAGCCATTGTGTTGCTAACTGCAAGTTGAATGCCATAAATCACTTATTTGGCGAGCGCGCTTATCCAATTTGGCATTCAATGTTGTAAAATTGAATTACACTGGAAATCTCATCACAATTCAATATAAAAATTATTCTAATTTGTATGCGCACAAAGAGTAGTTTGTGTGTGATTTTGACGTCGACAACGATCTCTATGGCGTGCATATTTAGCACAGATGTCGAGCATATTCGCGAATGCGTTGAGCGGTTTGTTTTCAGACACCAAATCGATAGGGAAACTGATGCGCCAAAAGCATGCTGAAATAACAAAGTATCAAATGCCGCATTGCATGCGCCCTACAGCCATTGTTGCTGGAAACAAAACCGCTGTTAGCCGCTTTCCCGTCATCACCTATGCTATACAGCTAACCACACACGCACTTTGCATCCCCATGAATATCTCTGTTATACATACATGTATATGTACATATGTATGGTATCCCTACAAGAACAATGACAGTCATCTGACCGTTAACATGACAGTTACAGCTGAAAAAATTTTGTCAGCGCGCAGAACAAAGTTTCTATCATTTTCTTAAGAGCCTTGTGCAAAAATTGATGTAAACAAACGCATTTGTGTGATTTTGCATCTCCCTTTAACACATGGATACTCGGAATTGATTCACTATATATCTATACTGCACACTCTCATGCCTTTTCCTGAGTCCTTGCTGATAAATATATATATGTATATAAATAATCCATCAAAGCTAAAAATTGTCAGTTAGACTCAAAAGCTATATTAGCTGCCATTTGTCAGTTATTACTGTAAATCTATCACAAGTGAAAAATTCTTTTGCGCAATGGATAATATAATTTTTATTTCCTTAATAAATTCAAAACTTTTAATTAAAGTTAGTTATAATAATATACATACAAGTAAAAAGGAGTGCAACAAAAATATAATAAAATAATAAATTATGCAAAGAAATATTCACTTGATTTCACACTTGTTCCTTTCAAAAGCTCTGCTGTACGTGTTTCTCCAGTTCATGAATATTTCGGAATTTAAAAATACCTAAATAAAAATGAAAATTAACTTAAAATATAATTTAAATTGAAAATTAAGATAACTTACGTATATTATATATGAAAACTTCTTCGCTATTAATTTATTTTTTTAACACAAAAAGAATAATTGCACAAGAGCACACAACACTTTTGCTTTATGCCACGGAATAACAGATACGTAGGTATTTCACAAAACTTCTCGAAACTTCTTTAAGGTAAGGATCTCTTTTTAACAATAACAGTGATGGTCAATTGCCGGTTAAATTGGCCTTCAGTACTGACGTAGCCAATGTGAATGTGTGAATGTATAAGTGATCCCATCAGCACTTTCCTGTAGGGATGTGGTTCCTATTCACACTTATGTGATGCAAATTGGGAAAATGAAACGCCAAATCTGGCATTTTACAAGCAATGCTGGTGGCGTTTGCTGCAGACTTTGCAGTGGCTTCGAGTTGCATGCAAAT